TAGAATATGTCACTTAAGTCTTCATGTACATACAGCTCTACAGAAAGGCTTTTCTGAAGAGTAAAAGGGAGTTGCAGGTGGAATGACTGCTGGAAATCAGCTTAAAAAATCAACAGTTTCTAATACCTGTGTTTGCCTTCAGTTAATGCCATTAGTCATGTTCCCAATACGTGACTGAAATGCACCCAGATACTATGGAGATGAGCATAAGAACCAATTGGAATATTCTAGATAAAACCTGATCCCCTAAATGACAATGTACCTGAATAATTTGGGATGCAACCAGTAAGAAAAGTTTCGGTGAATATCATGAGCCTGGCTCTCCTTTACATCCAAGCCTATTTCTACACTGTGCGATAGTATAAAGAAGACTTAACATAAGTATTTAAATATAACCCATTTCTATTCAAAGAACCTTCGTCTTCTTGGAGTTTATGAGACTCAAACACAATTAAACCACCTATGTGAGCAAAGTTACTCAAATGCGGAAATATATGCAGGATCAGGTCTTTCCAGATGACATTTCAGCAACCTTTACTGCTGATCTGGCACCAGAAAAATGGAAGTGATGCTTTTAGAAGCAATTCTCTGTAGAGACACATTACTGACATTGCTTAAAAACCCTCTGACTTTGATTTTAAAGCTTTTTCACTATTTTATGGCTGTGGTGACTATTTCTAACACTGGCTTTTTTATGATTAGTGTGTGTTTATTATTTTCATATTTTCTTTTGGATTCTATTTTTACCTTAAACAGCTTCATTGGGCCAACGATTTTCCTTCTACAACTGATTGTAAAAGTACTGGCCGGTGCTGGGAATTAAAATAAGTTTGAAATCTGTTGCTTCTAACATTAAAAACACATATTTGAAATAGTTCCTTTCTAATTTCTATGCTGGCAAAAGCTCCTATGACTTCTGATTTCTACGCTGGCAAGAGGTCCTACGACTTACAGAGTACAAGTATGCCTCTGGCTCAAGGCAAGGTGAAAAAGGTAATAGAAAAAATTTAAGCAGATCTAAGTGCCTGTATACATCCACACAAAGAAAACAAACCAAATCTGCACAAACGCTATGTTCGGAAGAGGGCAAAGGGATTTTAAAAAAGTCCCAGTATGAGCAAAACTAAGGGAGGAATAACTACCTGAATCACAAAACAGAGTGTCTAGCCTCAAAGATGCTAATTCAGGTCCTGGGGGATCTAATCAACCTCTTTGTTGAAGTAAAGATAAAACTTTTTGACAGCAAATGCTTTCTGATAAAATGGAATTTTCAATTACTCCGTGAAACATCTGGTCTGTGCTGCCATTTCCTGGGAAAAGCACCACTACACTCTGCAGTGTTGGAAAACATTTCACGCTGAGATTTCCCCACGTTGTTGGGAGGAACAGGCGTCAGGAGCTTCAAACCCGATGGCAAAGCTCCCACGGCTACCAGCATCACCCACCATTGACCACGGAGGTGATGCCAGTGGTGGATCTCCTGCCCAGCACCACTGCGCACTTCACCTCCTTGCTGAAAATCAGGGTTTCCTCCAGTGGTGGATTTTGAGTAAAGGTTACATCAGGATGTGGAGAAATCCATCCCATATTGTGCTGAAACAGGCCAAGACACAAAGGGGGACCCCAGGATTTACCTCCATCCTCCTTCAGCCAACCCAAAATGTCACTGAGATCCAACAGCCACTTGAAAACCTCCATTTCTCAAACAAATCTGCTTGGAAGTTCAGCTGAGGATCCCGTTAGGAAAGGAGTGCATATAAACTTCCAGCAGAGCTTAACACCTCCACAAACAAACAAGCAATTAAACAGCAACGAGTCACGAAAGGTGGAACAGGGCACCGGGTGCCGCTTTCCTCAGTGTCCCATTTGGTATCAATTAGCAGGGGAAGGAAAACAATTCTGGGCAATAATGAACTTCAAATTCGGTACATATTAGAGCAATTAAAGCCATCTTTTCAAGTGATGAATTTATAATCAATAATTAAGATCCTGAGGTAAAGAGAGACTGGGCAGAAGTCCTACTCCCAAAATAAGCAATGTGGCTGAGCTCCAGGCAGTAGTGCTGATGACCTGCTGCTGCCCACTAAAGCTCAACACCCTCTCTATGATTTGCCGTTTTTCTGGAAATCTAGGTCATTTCCAAAGGAAGAGAAAGGGCTCCTGCCAGCAGGACTGGAAGCTGGTGTCACTCCCACCCAAGAGCGGAACCAGGGCAGTGAAGAGGCAGAGAGCCCGGAGGCCACCTAAGCATGCGCAGCAGGTCCCTGGGGCTCCCATGGCCATATACTCCCCACCCGTGCTGGGCTCAAGCAGTGGTTTAAGAACACTAAAGGGGCTTGGAACCATCCATGCCTACCTCTTTCTGCAGGAAATCCAGCATCTCAGTAGGCAAAGGCTGACCAGACAGGTCCACGCCAACCTCCCAGTGCCACCACAGAGGGATCATCCTCTACCGTCAAGCTGCAAGCATTTCTGCCAACCAGCATCTTGCCTCAGCAGATCCAGGATTACCCATCAAGCAGATAAAGACTGTCAAATTACCTGGATGAAGCCTGAGAGTTGGCCACTCACAAAGGACTCGTGGTGTTACAAGCTGAGGTCCAAGCCCAGTAGAACCTGGCCATGGGGGCACCTCAATGGGCTCCCCAGCAGGAGACCATTAGCACTGAAACGCAGTTCAGGCAGGGATGGCAAGCGAAGGCAAAGCACAGGGACATGAACTGCCAGGCTGCCCTTCAGCCACAGACCGTGTGCTCGGGGCAGTGGTCAGCCCACTGGTCCTGTGCATGCTTGGCACTGAATTTGTGTTTCCTCCCCGCCCTGCCACTCTGACCCGAAATAGCGTAAAAATTACCATGCCAAAACCATCGCTTTAATCATGCAGAACCGCTGTTATCACTATCATCTCAGCATCTTGATTTTCCTGATTATTTTTTGCAGTCCCTGCTCAACAAATCAGCTCAGCAAATACTCTCTTTAACCTTTTTTTCAGCTTCTGTGACAGTAACTGCTAACCTCCCTGCCTGCGCTGCTCCTCTCATTGCTCCACGAACACCCCGATAACCTCGCAGACGAGTTCCCCCTGCTCCTCTGCACGAGACAGCATGGGACCCGCAGGACAGGAGAGTTGGCCCCTTGGCACTCCCGCCTGCCCGCCTGCCTGCCTGCGGGTCCAGCTGAATGGCAATGCAGCACTGGCATGCCAGTTTCCTCCCAAAAATAAACCAGAGACAAGAGCACCAAAGCCTGGGCAACCACAGGACTAGGAGTCAGGCACACAGGTTGCCTTTGGAAGTCACCTTCTGGAAATACTCCTGATTTTTGGGGGGGGGTATTTTACATGCAATGAGGAGTTCATGTTACAATGGACTGGATCGTATTTATTTCCACCTGACGCCTCCAACGAGCTCTGCATCCAACTCATCCTCTTTTTAACTTATTTGCATTGTTATCTGGTGCACAACAGAGCCAGAACACAGACTTATCAGAAATGTAATCTCTGTAAAACCCTATCTGCAGTCCATTGAGATTGTTTTTTTTTTTTCTGAAGAAATGTGACAAAAAATTAACAGATGTTGCTCAGGCCATTCAACGGGATGGGAATCAATTAGGAACATTTTTGCTCCCACAGTCTCCCTCACTGCAAACGCATCTTAGGAAACCCTCTCCTGATCGAAATGAAAAAGCATTTCTTTGTAATAGAAGAATAATAAATGATAGCTATCAGCCTGCATTCTCTGACACCGTGCCGGTCCGTGGAGAATTAAACTGCCACTGTACAGTTATATAAATGTTTAATTTTTTTCATCTTTGGCCACAATAGGGTTGTCTGGAAATACATTATCACTGCAGATGCCATCCCTCTCCAATTAGCGTGGCTGGCAGTGTGGAATGGGTAGGTGACCTCCGTGTTCCCCTCCTCGTGGAGTCTTACAGGGTTAACTACGGCCATTTAACAGACTCTATCGAGAATTAATACAACGATCAGCTTCTCTCCAGAAGAAAAAAAAAAAAACATTCGGTGGCACAGATGGCAAGAACTCTCTCTCCCCCATTTGACTCTTTTATGACAGCAAAACAAAGGCTTTTAATGATGTTTACCATGAATTGAATTAAACAACTGAAGACCAGTTCATAATCACAGCGTTTTGTTTTCATATCCTTAAGTCTTTTAGCAGTGGGGCTTCCAGTTGAGCCTCAGCTACAGCTTATCTCAAGATATAGCCAAGCGCCCCGAGGCTCCCCTGCGCCGGAGCACCAAACCGCATTCACGCTTCTTAATTGAAAAAGACAGGATGTTTGCATAGGATGTTTGCATCCATCAGACATTAAAAGCGACATTCACGCCCAAGTACAAATGACAGCTCGGGCTCAGCTGAACTCCTCTGACTTCTTTCCTCTAGCTAATACCGGTCTGGTTTCGGAGCAGGACTTCATCCCTGCACGTGGGGATGTGTAAGAGCTGAAACCCTGCTGCCTATTCGGGGGAAAAGATACAAACCCTCGCCCACTGGCTTGAGCTAATCCCTTGTGGGATGCCTGACTAATTGCCTACACGCTCTGCTGACCTTTTGGAAAAGTTGCCTGGATGGCGCCTGCGCATGAGCTCCAGAGACGGAGAGCGGATCGCGCGGGCAAGGGCGCACCGTCTGCGCTCCAGAGAGGAGCGCCGGCAGGGACCAGCCCCGGGCATGGCGCCGGCAATTCCGGCCCTAATCCCAACTCTGCTGCTCACTCGCTGGCAGGCAGATGCTCCGGGCCTTGGGTTTTCTGCCTGTGAAAGAGAGGATAATCCTAACTGCTTGTTTACCTGACAGGCGTGGCGTGAAGATTAATTTCTATCTACACAGCACTCTGGCAATGTACAGCGTTATCCCCAGAAAGCGCTAAGCATCCTTATTGCACACCCACTGAGGCAGCGCCAGAGCCACCGGACGGGGCATGCGGCGGCCAGTGGCATGGTGGTGGGCAGCCCCCCAGGGCGCATGGCAGTGGCTCACCTTGCTCAGGGCCCTGAGACCCCATGGAGGGGACGCTGGTGTTCAGCACGTCATTGACGGCCGTGTCACAATAGAGGCCCCGCTGCACGTCGTGCTCGCTGTCCGTCTGGTCGCTCTCCTCATGGCCGCTGTCCTTCAGACTGTTCCCTTCCAAGTCCTTGAACGTGGAGCTGCTGGGGGAGACACAGCCGTGACTGACTGGGTGGGACAAAGTGGCCCCCCGCCACCCCACGGTGCTGCAGTGAGACCTCAGCCTTGCGTCCCGCAGGGACAGGGATGTCCCTGCCATCCCCAGCACCCGGCGGCAGGGCTGGGCCTGCTCCCCCAGCATGGAGAGCTGGAGCGGGGAGTGCGGGGGGGGCACCCCCTGCTTGGCACCTCTGCACCCCTCAGAGGCTGCTTCTGCCCATGGGTAGAGTGTGAGCCTGTGGGTCAGGCTGCTGTAGGTATTATGGAAGCTGAGAGTGATGCAGGATTTGAAAATAAAATTTAAATTTAATACATTAAATGAGCTGTTTCTGTAACTAGGCTCCCTCAAGTCATATTACCTCATATTGAAGTTACACAGGATCTAAACCCTAATTTTTTAGGTTATAGGCCAAATCCTAATCGCTTAAAGTTTGAAAACAAAAGTCTTCCTATAAACAGGAATTTCTTTTCACAATGATGATGCCATTCTTATTTTTAAAAATAACCTGGTGATTCTGGGTCCAAGTTCACACAGCTTTAAGGAGATATGATTCACAGTCCAACTCCTTGTCATCCTCTGCAAGCGCAGCCACTGCTGGGGGGACCTCAGGGCTGAGCTGCTCCCAAATTTCCCCCAAGGGCTGACCAGCTCCACCACCCCATGGCACCCAACTCCGAGCCTGGAGGGATGGAAGAGTTTAATTTCTGGCTTCATCTGGGACCCTTCTGCTGCTCCCTGCTGCCCTGTGAGCGGTGATGCCCCAGGACACCCAGCTGCAGTGAGCCACAGGGACATCTCAACATGCACCTGCCCCAGGCATCAGGGCCATTGGGGTGTCCCTGGGGCCACCCACCCTGCTCCTCCTTCCACATCCAGCCTTGGCATGGAAAATCTGCACCCATCAGGAGGATCCACCTGTGCCCATGGCCCCAAACTTTCTCACTGGCTGATTTGGTGTGAAACATTGGTGGAAGATGTGGCCTGTGCTTCAAAGCCCCAAAGAGCTGGAGATTTTCATTACTTTGAAAAGCCCTTTTGCGTCTCCACGGAAACCAAGCAGACCACCTACCATCTGATGCTTTGCAAAAGCACACGAGGGGGGAGCTCTGAAATACATATAAATTGGTAAACCTTCAAACATTACCTTTTAAATAAAGATGTCCCTGTTGAAGCCACTGACTTTGATTCCAGGCGACATCAAAGAATTTTAAGTTAAGAAAGCACTACAAATCTACAATTCATTTGTGTGTGCGTAGATGAGCAAAAGAGGCAGGCAGACAACACAGGAAAAGTACAAATAGATTAATTAAAGTGCTGGATTTGAGGAGATTCGCTCACCAAAGATAGAAGAGGTACAACATCTTCATAAAGGCAAAGGATGAAAATGATGCCACAGTACGTTACAGAAAATATTTTTTGTTCTTAGATGTCTGCACAGCGTTCCCAGCACCCGTTGTACTTGAGATACAAGACAAAGGTAGAAAGCAAGGGGAAACACTGTCCTACATGGAGCTGCTGTTCATAATGTGCAAGCAACCCGTGTTACAACACATTTATCTTCCCCGCAGTGAACCCGACCGTAATGCAGCAGCCACACGACACGTTTCCGTGGCTGACGCTTCTTTAAAGGATGGGCAGGTCTCGGGGAATCGGCAGCAGCAGCATTTCCCAAACAATACAGCCTCAGAGTAAACCCTACTGCGGCAGGCAGGAGCACTGCTTGCCTTTATCTTAGGTGTGAACGAGGAAAGATTAATAGATTTGGGGTTTTTTCAGTATGCCTGCAGACTCTCTGGCAAGGAGCAGGCAAACCATCTCTCTCACAATCGCATTAGCATCGTTAAACATCATGAGCCACACAGGCAAGTATACCTGCCCTTCGCTAGCTGAACCCGAGCTGCTTAAACAATGTGCTTGCAGCTCTCTTACTCCTTATATTTTTAAGATGTAAACAAATGGGATCTCAGCCAGGCAGATAATTAGATTTTTTTACTGCTCAGATCAGATCTCAACAGTTCAGAGCCAGCTCCTGCTCTCCTTTACACCCCTGCTTCCACGATGGCTCCTGAAGAGCCCCTGGACACAAACCTGCTGGGCACGGGCATGGGCATGGCCCCAGCTTGCACACCGCACACCCCAGCCAGTCCCTGGGGAGAAGAAGGGAGGTGGGAAAGAGCTGCCGGCCACCTCCTGCACCCGCATCCTGCGCAGGGAGACAGCCCTCCAGTCCTCCGCGGCGGCCTCCTGATGAGTATTGATTGTGCTGTGTCAGTGCCTTTCCCTGCCCTGGCAAGAGCCGGGGAGGCAGGGCCAAGCCTGCCCTCGCACCCCACGGGGGGATGCTCACCTCTAGTTTAACACAATCCAGTGGAGTTTAACCAGACAACGCCGGTGTTAACCTCCCCAAGACATCTCTTCAACACTGTTAGGCTCTGAGGATACCAGTATTTTATCCAAAGGGTTAAATTCCCCCAAGGGTAATTGCCAGCTTGCAACTGAACTGATGATTTGCTTTTCACCCATGGAAGAAAGAAGCCTAGCAAAGTGCTGTTTTGCCTCAGTATTCAAACTAAAACAGTGAGTGTGTATCCAACCCAATTGCCTGCCCCCAAATGAGATTTTTTTTTTTCTTTTCCCCTGCCTCACATGGCAGGGAGATCTCACCATCCAAATCTATCATTTTATTCCTGTGCATTCAAATAGAATAAACTCTATGAATCTGAAAGTTGTCAGGGTAACAGCACTCCACCTAACTCACTGCTACTTCCTGGTGTGAAGGAGCCAAAGAGAAGAAAAAAAGACTTGCCTTTATTGCAAACCAAGAGCAATGGGACTTAATAGGAAGTAAATACTGGTTTTAAAATCAAATTACTATTCTTGAAACATTTTGCATATTAAAAAAAGCAAGTAGTATATAACACAGTAAGGAAGAACATTAAATAATCAGGATTTGGCTGGGCAAACCCAAGCGCTTTCAAGCAAGCCTACGTACCTTTTTATTAAATGAGCTCTGCTATTCACGTAGTTGGAATCAAAGGAGTAGTTTTCAGTCTGGAAGGAGGAAAAGAAAAGGGAGATGGTTACAAGTCTGATTTGCAGAGCCAGGACAAAAGCCAGCAGCAAAGCCGGCGGGAGGGAAGGAGCATCCCAGCACAGGACAGACCCCACTGAGCGGGATGGAGCCGGCCGCGGAAAACTCCAGTCCCTGTCAGTGTTTCCACCAGCTTTCAGGAAAAAAAAAAGGCTGGCTGGTGACCACAGAACAATTTGCAGAGAAGAAACAATGTGACTACGCTCTGTTACAAAACTAATTGCTTTTAATTCCCTGATGGACTCGGTTCTCTGTGTGTCAATTTGACTGAAAGTTCAAAAGGTATTTTTCTTATTAGTGTATAATTAACATGTTAAAATATTTATTGCATAGATATGTAAATGCCAGCAAGGTAATCCCCTGCCGGAGAATTTAATGCAGGCACTTTTCTTTGTTTTACATCATTTCATTTGCAGAGACAGTGGGCTATGCTATTAATAAAAAAGCAAACAATGGATGACATGCTTGAAAGTTGGAGGGGAGTGAATGCAGGGGAGAAAAGTTAATGGATTTGTCATTTGCAAGCAAAACCCACAAACTTACTGTGCGCTTGAAACACTGTCTTTTAACCTCAGATTACATAGCCCAGGATTTCTGGTGCTCGCAGCAGGTAAGGAACCAAAAAAAGCAACCAGAAGGTAGGGAATAGAGCAGGGTGTTACCCCTCAGGAGGCCATGGTGGGAGCTGCGGGGTGAGACATGGTGGGAGCTGCATGGTGGGATATGGTGGGAGCTGTGCAGTGGGATGCAGTGGCAGTTGCATGGTAGGATGTGGTGGGAGATGCATGGTGAGTCACAGTGGAAGCCATGTGGTGGGACATGGTGGGATCTGCACGGCCTGACCAGGATCCTTCCTGGGCTTTAGGGACTCAGAAGGATGTAGGTGTCTTTGTATGAGTCACGCACCCCAGTCCATCCGTCCATCCACCCAAAGTCCCCCCAGATCTGCAGGGATCCAACTTGGGCTCCCATCAGCATCACCCCTGGCCCAGGTGACGCTCCTTGCCCCCACCAGGCACCCTGGCCAGCAGAAGGGGCAGACTCTGCTCTGCCCCCCTTCCTCTGGGCTGACAGCAGTGTCCTCCCAGGACAGCAGCAGGGACAGCCACCTGCCCCAGCAGCCCCGTCCTGCCTCCTCTCTGTCACGGCTCCTCCTTGCTCCAGCCCCGTGGCCGCTCTCCTTTCCAAAGAGGCGCTCTGGGATACTATGGCCTGTTTTTATGGCAATTATGAACATGGTAAAAATAAATGCATGCATCTTTAATGTCTCAATAAATAAAGGAAAGCAGAGTCTGCTGCTAACGTAATCACAACAGCAGGATGCAGGGAGAGGGGCCGCTGCAGCAGAGCCGAATGTGAAATCCAATCGTACCCCAGCAGAGGTTACACTGCTCTGCCAAGATAATAAAGCAAAGGCAGTGTTGGTTAAGTGTGACCTTTTCTGAAATACAGCACAATATCCAATTTACCAAACAGGAGCCTCCCAGAGAAAAACATGCAAGGAGCTGCGAGCTGGGGGAGTTGGCCCAGCACTCGGCACAGCTCAGTTATTACTTTCACATAGTAATTACTGCTGGAGAGTCACGCAGGAGATTTACTGCACAAACTACTGGTCCCTGCAGTTCCTGCATCCTCAGTCCTGCAGGACGACTTTGATGGTTAGAGCTCAGGAGCAAATGGACACATGTATTTTTAAAATACATGATGCCCAAGACTTTAAACTCTGCAGAGAATGCCCGATCCTGTGTTTATCCATCAATCCTGGCGCTGCTATCCCAGAAGGAGAGATGCCACCCCATGACATCACCCCCTCAGCAGCCCTGCAGGAGATCCCAGCCCTGCAAATGGGCTCTGAGGGCAGCCAAGCGATGAAAGGCAGGAGGGATCGGAGCCAGTTTTGGAGCAATCCCTGCTCAGCAGGGAGCCCCCTCCATCACCATGTGCTGACGGATGTGGGAACAGCTCCAGCAAGCCTGGAGCCTCAGCTGGCTCCATCCTCAGCCCCATTGCTATGCCCAGCAGCAGCATGAGACCCCCTGCACCCACCACTACCTCCATCAGCTTCATGTGTGTGCATCTCAGCCCTGGGAAAACCAGGAGAGGAACGGGTAGGTGGGAGGACCCAGAGAGCAAATTTCAATATGTACAGGTATATTACCAAGCTTTAAAATACTCAGACCACTGATGCTGCATGGCCCAGGCTTCAGGGACCAAGGGATACCCAGGGCCATCCGCAGTGAATGCTCAACCAGTGCCACCAATACACCACCACAGGCTGAGGAAAAACCACACATGCTGCCATCACATCTCCTGCCACAGCCCAGATACAGACCTCGTGCTAAATCCCCCTCTGACCAACATCACTGGGAGCTTTGCTATTGATTTCTGACCAAAATAGAAGACCAAATCCTGGCTCAACTGAAATCATTCACCAATGAGCAAATTCCCTGTGATTTATGTTTAATGGACTGGAGTAATGTCCTTCCCACATGGACTCTCTGGTCCACGTGTCCCCCTGCTCGGGATGCTCTGCATCACATCGCTAACACAACCTTGTAAGTCCCCATGCAAGCGAGCGGGTTCCCGCAGGGTCAGTCACAGCATCCGTTCCCAGGCTTCAAATCCCCCACGCCGTCGAAAACAGCACGACTAATGGTAATTACTTCCAGATTTTGGACAAAACAAGGAGTGACATGGCCACAAGGATGGGAAATCTGCTTCCCTGTGCTGGGGGTTTGCACCCTTAGCATGAGCCGCCTGCACTGCCCACACCGGCACGCTCCCACCGGTGCACAAGGCAGCCCAGAAGTTTATGAGACCTCTCCTCAGCCATGGGATTATCCGTCAAGGTTATCTCCATGCAGGCTAGGGGATCAAAACAGAAAAATAAAAAAGAAATGAGATTTTTCATGGATAAGGGCTGCTTTATAGCTTGCATTATTCAATCGAAATTCACCTGATTTAATTTTCGTTCATCCTGCAAAGTGCAATCACTTACAAACAGAGGCAAAATGATGGGGAAGGAGAACGTCTCTGGCATGTCAACATTTTAATTGGGAAAGGATCCACTCCCTGTCTTAATGAGGCCCAAAGAACAAAGTCAAAGCACAAAAAAGAGGGAAAAGGTAAGGCTGGCTGGCGCCGATGAAAGTGTGCTTTTCATAAAGAGCATCTTCAACAGGCCAGACCTCATCATCTTCATTATTTTGGCAGAAGCAAACAAACCGTTACTTTCTCACTGATCAGCACCACTCCTGCAGAAATCAAAGGTGAGCCCAGCCTCTCCCTTCCATGTCCAGAGTCAGGTACGGCAAGGACCTCCCGAACCGCGCCGACAGTTCTTATCTCCTGCTCATTGTAACACGAATAAAGGATGCTCACGCTTGTCAGGATCAGACCCTCAGCCTCTGTGCTATGAATAAACAATAGACTCAAGATATCGGGAAGCACCAAATAACAGCTAGCATAAAGTCTGTGGTCTCAGCCTGCATTTCTCTTTGAGGAGTGAAACCCTGTTGTCCTCCGGGCTCGGGATTTGCTTTCCAGATGTAGGTGTGTTGGTGTCAATGCCATCAAAGAGAGAGCCCTGGCTCGGCACGCATCTTACCAGTGCCTAATTTGAAAAATGCTTTTAACTGCTGCCTTAGCAACACAAATACAAATATAACAACAGACACACTCAGAATCAAGCAATCAGTGGGGAAATTTTAAACTTTTTTTTTTCCCCCCAGCGGTTGCTTTTGCTTGAGGACTGCCAATTCCATTAAATTAAAAAAAAAAAGATGTACAAATGTCAGTACAACTCTTCTTGACCTGGACATCGCGGGGGGGTGACTTCCCCATCAGCAAAAGGTCCGTTAGCAACAGGGCACTGCTCTAACAACTGCTCACTCTCTGCCTTAGAAACAGAAATAAACCCTGGAGGATCCAAAGACGGTTTAAGGGGAATCAATGCAAGTGCCAGCAGAAAGGTCAGTGGGCTGCAGCGACTCTGGGCACGACCACTGCTGTGGACTGATGGAGAAACAGAGGATGATGGCTGGGGTTGGTCCCTAGGCAGGGGGCACATGTCCTGGGCCATGCCAGGACACTCAGATCAGTGCAGCCATGTCCCTGACAGCCTGCCCACCTTGTGGCAGATGCCCAGGATCTGGCTTTTCATCAGTCTTGCCTTTTTTCAGCTATTTCAATTGTGTTTCTTCTCAAACCAAACTCCGTGGAGGTGCAAATCCAGCTTTCCCTGCTGTGTCTGGATCTGGGCTCTTGATGAAGGGTTTGGCTCCTTGGTCCACCCATCAGCCCCCAGCAAAGTCCACGGTTGTTCAAAGCTGGACCCATGTCTCCCAACCCAAAGTGACACGTATCCGTCCCTCTGCCAGCCTCCGCCTCGGAAGATGACTCTAAAGCATCTCAATGTGGGGTTTTTTGCCCTTCTTCTCACTTCAGGGTGAAAACATTTCTATGTTTCTACAAATTATTGTAAACCTGCTGCAACCTCCTGCCAAAGCATGTAGGGACCCTTCACAAAATCAGCTTCATAAAAATGACACATTTAGCGCCATTTTTTCAGGGTTATCCCTTGAGCCTTTTTTTTTTCCCCTACGTGCCTTGTTAATAAAGCTTGCATGTCACCCTTTATTATTAAAAAACAAAGCGGACCTTTCTCCAAGGCTGCAATGTGCATCTCTCCTTTTCGGTTTCAGAAAATCCTCCTGAAACATGCAGCGGCTCCTCGTCCTCTGCATCCAGCTGCATGCCTTCACCAGGAGCACCGGTCTCCTGACCTTCCCTCCATGCTACAGGCATCGCCGAGGACCACAGAAATGGCAAATCGTTCCCAAAAATCCACTGGGCCTCTCAGGTGCGAAAGGCAGGGCTTGTAAGACCACTTCTCCTGGTCCTCCTGTACCCTCAGTCCAGTTCTCCATGGGCCATTCAATCACAGGCTCCAGCATCTGCA